AGCCCTAATATAGACTATAATATGTAATTTTTGGAAAAATTCTTTTAAAGTGTAAAGTATAAAAACGTATATCATTCTTATCAATGACTTCATAATTTTACTCAGTATGATTAATTCCAGTGGCGTATATAGGGGGGAGGCCCCCTAGGCCAGAGCCCGTAGTGAAATTGTAGGTTCAATTACTTAAAGCATTTCATGTATATCTACACTGTTTACAGTTTTTCACCATGATTAATTTGGTCAGTTGATTAAAATCGTTTTTGAGGAATCCACAGAGAAATGATTGTCAGGACTTGTTTTGATGACTTTGATGTTAAATTCACAGTTGGATAACATTAAAATATATATATAAATGACATTGTCAATATTTTTTAAAAAGAATTAAAAAATTAATTTTACATAATTATAAAATTAAATTGTGCAATTTTTATTTGTATTGTATATGTCATAAATCATAATTATAACCACCCAGCTCCCAGAAATATGTATAGTATTATGGCTATGTTAGTCGGGCTATGCTTGGATAGTTATAAATTGCCCAAATTGGCCCATAGTGAATACAATTTGTATATACGCCACTGATTAATTCATTAAATTATTACTCTATGGCTGCATCGTAGTAAATAATTATGTACTTATGGTGTGTAATTCTTGTAAACACGTTCTTGACGTTAGCCGTATAAAAAAAATTCTCAAATTATTCATATATAATATGACGTTATGATGTTGTGACGTTGTTTATTATTATACTCGCGATATTATTATTCACTTGTTTTTTTTTTTACAAGTTTTATTATTAATAATTTAAGACTGAAATAAGTATGTATTTCTACTTTACTTTATAATAAAAACACAAAGATTATAATGTGACTATTATATATGTAATCGTAACTTTAATATTGTATTATTGTATCGTCGGAAATAACTTCTTTACTCCACCACTATATTCCATTTTCTATAGTATAATACACAATTAACTTTTTAAACGTATATAGCTTTAAATAATGCAATTTTATAATTTATATCAAGATAAAATTGGATTTGAAAATTTATATTTTATAGGTGGTTAGGGTAGAATATTTTTCATCTGACGTATACATAATAGAAATACAAATATAACTTATAAGTTTTAATTTATTATTTTTAGTTAACTTCTACTATAAGTTCAAGAAACATTAAATATCGAGAAATGTCTAATGCAATATTCTATACTATGAGGTAGTACAACGCAAACAATTACAATTTATCTAATCTTGCATATTATGCAATTCCATACAACAAATAAAATCATAACGTTCCTCCAACAGGAAATATATATTATTATTTATAAGTATACCTACCTTATCTTAATGATCACTGAATACAAATAAACCTAATTCGGCATAATAAAATCAATATATCACGAAATTATCAAACTATACTCTGGGCCAGGAATGCACCTGGCGGCAGACCAAAACTCGTCTTTTTTAGGGCTTCCCCACCATTTTACCGGCCAGATCACCACTCATCGGAGCGCTCCGGTTTCGGCGGCAGTTGTGTACCATATACCAGTGGCCACATGGAGGGGGGAAATTGGCCTCGAGACGACGGAGCTCCGTCATTTGGATGCGCGTGCAGGGTGCATTCTCTCGTGCCCCAGAGTATAAATAATTAAAATAATATATATTATTTATGTACAGTGTATGTTCAATTTTATAGATTTCGGATAAGTAGTTAATATTTTTGTCCTAATTACTTATTTATAAATGTTTGGGGCACAATGCAATTTCTTAGTTTTTTTTTGAGCATCTAATTCCTAGACCTTTTATATAATTTTTATGATAAATTAGTGGAATTGTTTCTTCATGAAATGTCAGATACAAAGTACCAACAAAAACAAAATTGGGGGACGAGGTGGCCGAGCGGTCTAACGCGTCGACTGCGGCGCTGGCAGTCGCGGGTTCGACTCTCGGCCACTGGGCGGCATTTTTCTCCGGGCAAGTCACGGTGTCCGGAGTACAAATGCCGCCATCCCCCACCCCGGGGCATGGCAGAAACCTACGGGCGCCCCAATAAAAATTCTGCCACCACAAACACACTCGTGTACCAACCTACCCAATCTAAAAACCTACAGTTCCCTCCACACACCCAATGGCATGTTGCCGCGGGTTATCCAATAAAAAAAAAAAAAAAAAAAAATTAAGAGAAAATAGTGTTGGTAAAATTAATTTTAATTCATGATCTATTTGACCCAGTCTATAAGAAAAGACTTACAATGTGGTTCAATAAAAAAAATTAAACAGTCCAATAAAAACAACATGTAAAGGTTACCTAACGGATTTTAGGATAGTGGATAATATGCTCTTTTAGCTTGATATCCAGAGCGACGGTTGTGGCGCGAAGCTAAGTAAAACAAATAGCGGAGTAGCCACAGTTCTAGTTATAGGAAACCGAGCGTTAACATTGAAAAACCGTCATCATTTTTGTCAATTCTTTGTCAACCTCTACAGGGCAAACGGCTGAACATATAAAGTCGTATAAAGTACCAATCGATCAGAAATATTGTGCAGATGGGAACAGAGGAACTCGCTAGCAGGTTGGTTAGATAGTTTATAAGTTAATAGTTATAAGCAAAAATGTTCAAGTACTTTTAAGACCGATTTTGCATGCGGAACAGTGGGGATTGGATAAGCGGTGGGTCGCGGGATATTTACGATATTATCGTCCCGAACCACCGCTCATCCATCCCCACTACAACTCTCATCACGACGGTGGCAGCGGCGCGGCGGCGACGACGTACGACGATTGGCGATTGTGACGGCGCGGTCTCTCGGATGCCGGTCGCCGGCATCCATTTACCATAAATCATAATATTATTATGCTGAAAACTTGGAATAATAAAATAAAATTTAGCCGTGGCAACAACAATAAATTAAGGTCGATGGCAAATTATATGCTCTTAATTCTGTGATTTGCCATCATGGTCCATCTAT